GCTGCGTGAAAACTTAAAACTTCTACAGTGCATATACAATAATAGAGGTGGGCATATCCAGCATGTTCTTTTTCCAGGAACAGTATTTGCCAGGAACCTTACACAGTGAAGTACCTGCTTGTCTGGGAGGTACTGGGTCACAACATTATTGCAGTCTATTTAAATGTATTTTTAATTACAGCCCTGCACATTTCTGAAGTGCATTAAAACTACTTTGCCATCAGCTATGGTGTGAGATTGTCCGAGTACCTAAGTTTTGAGCTGAAAATGTCTGTACATGTTCTGTGATCTTCTACTAAAGTGACACAGAACAGGAAATAAAAGTCACTACCAAAGTTGTGGCAAGAACAGTGGAAGAAACGTAGAGAAAGCATCATAATACTGTAATACTGTTTCCTGAGCTCTTTACCTGAAAGACATGGAACATTTAAACAGTGATTAGAGGATTTATGTCCTACAGTGAGGTCTGCCAGCAAACTCAGGCTTGGCTTGTGTTGGTTGACAGAAAACAGGCACAGGTCATACTTAAATGTTTAAAACTTCCAGAAATCCCAGTAATCATTGTTCTCACTTACAGAAACTGCTGCGTGCAAGGTAGACTACCTCTAGCAGTACAGACGTAGTCTGTAGTAGTAGTCTGTTCTCTGCTTAAGAGGGGAGAATCCATATTCTTACCTGATTTGATGATTAGCTATCTAATATTAAAAGTCCCTCTGTGACTCTAACTGTTAATATTACAAACTGAAGTGGAAAGTCAATTTCGGTTTTCTTATCTAGTTTTAAAGAGTCTTAAGCAAGACAGACTCAGTGCCTGGCGCGATTAGAATGATAACAGAACTGTACAGTAGCCATTAAAATGCCTTTATTTGTTTTAATTCAAAGGTTTAACAACTATTTGCCCAGTGATCTGGACTTAGGGCACAACAACAACAAAAAAACCCAGACCAAAATACAAAACCAAGTACACAAATTACCCCTTATTTGTAAATGTTACCTCATAACCAAGTTTTAACACATTAAAAAGTTTACAAAATTTATTACACTCTTAGATTATTCAGAACTAACAGCATATGTGGCAGTTGAGCCTCTCCACATCCATCCTTGCCCTTGCCATACCATTCTGTGCCTGGATAACGCCACCCTTGAACTGGAGGGTTGGGTAACTGGAACCGCGAGTTTCCAGACTGCTTTGTGCTTCAGACCAGTGCCTGAGCAACTCCAGCTCCCTAGCACAGCTTGGCTGGTGGGAGCGGTGTGGGTATGCTCGCTGTTCTGCCTGCTGCGTCCTCTGCAGCATTGAGATAATGACTCAGTAAATGCAGAAAGAATTTTAAAAAAGTACAAAATTGACCCTGAAATAAAATCATTTAAAAAAACAGCTTGGCTTTGACTAAGTTACGCTAAAAGCTGCAAGACAGATTTATAGCAATATCACTTCAAGTACGAGAGCACAAAAATCAACAGATTTGTTATGAGTCTTGTCACTGTAAAAATGAAAACATCAAAGTTGACCTGTCTGCCTGTAGAAACCTTTCGCCTCCTAACAGAAGGGCTGACATATGCCCTCTTCCTGGTTTTTGGCCTTTTCAGAGCTTTGTTAACTATTAAGACCAATTTAATTCCTAAGAATCTGCCTCTAGTGAAAAAATTGCAACAGCGAGAAAAACGTCTATATTTTCCATTAGCTCTAGATGCATAGGAAACAAATGCCTGTGGTTTAGACTCAGGACATAAAAGTAAAGTACAGTAATTTAATGGTTGCAAATAGCCATTTCTTGAAAGGAAAATACACCTGGGCTTTACAAGATGCTATCAAATGTACAGAAATATCAAAACCCTGATTGTGGCCAGACACGGATAAATCTCCAGTGAGGTACTCTATAATCTTAAGGTATGCAAATGAGCTGACTTTTCATTTCTCCCAACTTCAGCAAGGCAGCACCTGCTTAAGCACAAGTTGGCTTTGCTTATAAGCAGCGTTCGTCAAGCCCCAAGAAGCTGAACCAAAACCAAGTATAGCTAGCTGTGTGTTCGCAGGCTGTGGTTTTTCATTGATTTATACAAGCATGGTCAAGAGCTGTTAATTTTCACACTTCAAAAGAATTAAGACACAAATTCTTCTTTGGTGCTTAAACAGGAGGAAGTTAAACAAATGGCTACAGCTCAAACACAGCGTAGAGTGTCTGAGGCCTTGAAAAATAGCACTGCATGTATCCTGGACAGCTAAAGCCTTGGCACAATAATCTCAATATTCACAGGCTGAATCGCCAGATGTTATGGTGGGTGCAGAAATTTTACTAGCTCACTTTTCTGCTCTGGAGGGCTACTTACTCTGAGGCTGCATAAACAAACCGATCAGCAAACAAGTTGTTTATTGTAGTTACTAATGCTTCATTTATGTGTATATTTGGGGGCAAAGTTAGAGAGTCATTCACTGGCAGAAAGAGCAATCCATTTCATCGCTCTTTGTTTCTTTCGTTTGAAGTGCCTACAGTACTAAAAATTAGGAGAGTAGAGGGCTCTGTTCAGACACCTTAATACAGACCAGCTTCTCTGTGCAGTCCAGGCATCGGCACTACACAAGAAGTTTTTTCTGGTATTGTGCCCAACTTGCTGGCGGACAGCAAATCGGTCCACTTCAGGGTGAGATTTTACAGTCAGCGTAAGCTGCTGCTGCAAGGCATAGTCTGACTGGCTGTACGGTCCACCTCCTGCTCCGCCCCATAGCTATTGCTAATGTTTTCCTAACTGTTAGTACTGTGACAAAAGATTTAGGAACGTTTGACCAGGGAGGACCGGGACTGCCCTTTCGATTGTACACTGCACTGCTGCAATGTAAAAATCTCATCACCAGGTACTGGCCAACAGCTTCAAGTTATCTTGACACAGCTTGTGTGCATAATAACCACAGGAGAGAATGCCAATTAGATTTCAAGAATAGCAGTATAGTTTTGCTCTTAGATTTCCAGCATAAATAAGCATAAAAGCAACCAAAGAAGTCATCCGTATAGCATAACTGCCTATAAAATAAACAGTTCAGGGAAAAGAAAATCAGCCTCTGCCAGGGAAGAGAATAAATAACCCCTATGGAGATTTAAGTATGCTGCTTTCCCATTCAACCCAATATGCTGCACATTGAACAAGCTCTGTGTGATGCACATTCCAAACAGGCACCAGAGACAGCTGAGGAATAAAGGCTGTGAAGTTCCATGACATTAGCTTCAGAAGTTCGTTCCCTTTCTGCTCCCATTCTGATCTGTTCTTCTGTGAAGCTTGTGTCTCAGCTAGGCTGATACAGTGTCTTGCTGCCATACCATAAACCAAAATGAAACACTAAGTTTAAAAAGCCTTCAAAAAGGGGCAAGGGGAGGGAATAATTTAACTTTTGGGCCCCCTCACTCCAAGAAGGACATTGAGGTGCTGGAGCACGTCCAAAGAAGGACAATGAAGCTGGTGAAGGGTCTGGAGAACAAGTCTGATGAGGAGCGGCTGAGGGAACTGGGGTTGTTTAGCCTGGAGAAAAGGAGGCTGAGGGGAGACCTCATCGCTCTCTACAACTCCCTGAAAGGAGGTTGTAGCGAGGTGGGGGTCGGTCTCTTCTCCCAAGTATCAAGCGATAGGACGAGAGGAAACAGCCTCAAGTTGCGCCAGGGGAGGTTTAGATTGGATATTAGGAAAAATTTCTTCACCAAAAGGGTTGTCAAGCATTGGAACAGGCTGCCCAGGGAAGTGGTGGAGTCCCCATCCCTGGAGGTATTTAAAAGCCGTGTAGATGTGGTGCTTAGGGACATGGTTTAGGGGTGGACTTGGCAGTGCTAGGTTAATGGTTGGACTCGATGATCTTAAAGGTCTTTTCCAACCTAAACGATTCTATTCTAAGCCAGCTTCACTGATACTGTACAAAAAGCAAAGAAGCAACAGCTTACCGTCAAAAAGACGTGAAGGTTCCACTTCCCTCCCGCCTGACTCCAGTCGCACCATTCAACTCTTTTACAGCAGCTCCAATACTTCTAAAATCTTTACTGAGTGTAGTAGTTGGTTTACCTCTCTATTTTTTTTTGCTGAATTACCTTGTTCAGTTAGTCATTTTAGCAACTTACTTAGATTGGTATAGAAGAGTTCAACAAGCTCCAGAACCTGCATGGGTAAGGTTTGGAAAGGGAATACTGAGTGTCCCGTTGGCTTTGATGAGCAGTTCTGTCAGCATACTCCATGTTGCGAAATTATGCCTGAAATTTCTAGTGTGACTCAAAACAACGGGACCAGCGTAAGGGAGAAAAGCATGAGTCACAGCACAGTGACAGCGACAGGCATCTATGATAGGGGCTGGGAGGGAAGGCAGGAGCAATCCCTTACAGTGGCTCTGCTATCAAAGTCAACGGTGCAAGTGGTACAACTACACCAAGAAACCTGTCATCCAGATTGCCCCAGGGATTTCCCTCGCGTTGGCTATATTTAACATTGCCATTCCTGCTCCTGAATTTTAAGTCAGTCAGAAGAGCTCACAAATTTTGCATTCCAAGCAAACGGCCTGCACTGAGACACCTGAGCTTGTTTAAATGCTTCTGCAGTCTCAGTTGACCAGAGGCCGTCAATGGTGGCAAATAGCAGCTGTTTATACTTGTTTAGAATGCGCTGGAGCACACGACTATAGATAGGAAATGTTGTAGTTTAAAAAGAAAAAACCAAAGGCTGCTACTTTCACATAACTCAGAAATTTTTCCAGTAGCTACAACGTTCTGAAGAAAAAATAAAGAAACAGGAAAAATTCTTTAAAAAAAAAAAGTTAAGCAAATAATAATGCTAAATAACATTTGCAAAATTTGGTTAAAATCATTCTATTGTAACCAAACTTTCTGTCTAAACAGGACTGAATCCAACACAAGGCGTTTTGCCAAATTCTTAAGCAAATAAGTAAACCATGATACACTTGACAGTAACCATGGGGAGGGAAGAATCACCGTGTGTTTCATTCAGCTCTTCATAGGAGATGAAGTATATTAGTAGGGGGCATGCTTTACATCCAGCACTGTGCATCTTAGCATCTCCCAGCAACATCCTCTATTTCATCATGAAATACTGAATCTGCCGAACTAAATAGCAAGAACTTCTGTCACTTCAGCAGCTAATTAAGTGGTCTTCCACAGGCGGACTCAGGCCTTCAAAACCAACGCATTCTTTCTTTAGGCCCCACTCTACAAATACTTAAGCAACATATGCCCAGCTTTCCTGAGGCGGCAGCGAGACTGCTCAATGAGATTCATTATGTACTTTTGGACATTTGCAGGATCAACAATTGACCGTTAACTCTGTATGCTGGTAGTCCTTATTATCCCGTGCTTTGCTTTCTCAAGCTGAATTCTGATTACAAACACAAGGAGCCGTTATACAGAGCCGTCTGTATAACTAAGCTATACGTGGTTGATGGATAGTTTAGGTATACGTCTCATGTTCTCAAGTTGGGAGAGTACAGTACATTTATTATGTATATATACACACAGCAAGGCGTGGAAGAAAGCCAGAAACCAGTTTGTAAATTAGAACGTGGGACAATATATTTCTGATTGAGGTGTATTTTTTTTTAATCATATGAAGTAAAAATATTGGAAGTAGCCTTTTGTTCCCTCTCCAATGAAAATTTTTCTTTTTGGGGGGGGGGAAGTCAACCACTTCTCATTCTTACTTTTCCTTCTTGAGGTATAAATGACTGTACCTTAACTTCAGAATATATCTTCAGGTGATCCAGCTGGAGGAGGTATGATGGTTTTGTTTTATCTTGCAAGTCACAGCTTTGACAAGACAATGAATCTGTAAATTGCAACAAACTTTTGTACAACAAAATTCCTGCAGCCCTGAAACACAGCAGTCTGCATAATAGACTCACAAGTAACTATCTGGAGGAACACACTCAAGATTTCCCATCTTTCTGCTCAAGTTTCTCCTCTAGCCTTGGGAAATTTGAACAGGTACCCACAGTTTACTGTTCATCATTCTGCCTATCTACATCCCGTTCTCCAAAAGACGTGTTGACAGGAAGATATAGTCATATTAGTAAACTGGAACACTTTCTTTTCAGTAGAGGCCTGCACTGATTTGACATTCCTTTTTATATCTGCATTTTAAAATCAGTCTACAGAGTGTATTAGAGCTGTAGAGAGAGAACATCACAGTTCCATTTTGTTTCTTCACTAACCGCTCTACTGAGCGAGGATCAGTGTAGAACACAGAGGAGGAATGTTTCAAAAGCTAGTAAGTAAAAAAAGAAAACGCTGATGTTTACATTGGACTTTGTATCTCCACTCCCTCCCCAGTCTAAGCTAAGTGAAAAACCCATTTTGTTCAAAGTCAGGTCAGAACAGTGGATGAAATACCTTATCATGGCTTATACGTAACACGGTCTTTTGAAATTATTTCAACATGGTGTTTTTCCACTCGCTCAAATAAAAGCATCTCCATAGCGTCAAGATCTGATGGGACTCAGCCAGATAGATATTTATGCACAGCAGCTTAGAAATTTAAGTAGTCGATTTAAAAAAAAAAAAAATAACTTTTGAATGAGTTATTGTTCCCTAGCATTTTCAACCAGCTTAAAGAAAATACAGTAGAACCTCACTGTTTCGCACCTACGACTGGGAGATTAAGTGTACATCGTTTCACTGTGACCGTTTTGCAACATTCAAGTGCTAAGAGTTAAGCCAGGATGATGCACTTCAACATGTGTTCTGTTCGCATCAGTGGAGTGTTGTAATTCAGCTTTATTTCCTTATCCTGTGATGTAAGTGTACTTACATTTAATGGAAAATAAGTCAAAACGAGGTAGCACTGCCACTCTCTTTGCTGGAATGTGGACAGATCCTGGCCTAATTTTGAACGGTGGCTTAGCAAGATTCTGCTGTAATCTACACAAAATGTATAAAACACGAACCTTCTCCAGAATAAGGCCACTAATTTTGCCATTGGCAATAGGCAGTGAGAAACAGCAGTTAAAAAAAACCTCACTTGATTATAGAGGTGTTTCTGAGGCAATAAACTGTGGGGAGAAGTATAAACACATTGTCCTCTCATCCCTCCTCTTTGTTTTCCAGTATAAGTATCTCTGCTTCCTGTACGTACTGCTCCGTGGGGAGAAATTTCAGTCTATTTTCTTAGCTGGGAGTCTGAGCAAGTCCACGCTACATTTAAAGATGGGGACAGCACTGTAAAACAGTAGGATTACAAGCTTCCCATGAGTCATGGTCATGACAGTCTGATGTCCAGATGCCCAGATTCGATACCAGGGCCCATAAAAAGGATCTGAGACGGCTGGGCACAACATGTTGTTCAAATTCACTTCTGTAACCTGAGAAAGTGACAACAAATTTATGAATTAACAATATTTTTGTGTTGCACTGATTCAGACCCCTAAAATGGTAATTTTGAAATTACCGTAATAATAAAAAATGTTGAGGTGACAGTCCTTTGTTCAACACACGTAGGGCAGCTTTCAGAAGGAAAGCAGATCCAAATTCAGTTGTGCATTTAATAGATGGATTTATGCAGGTACGTAACCAATTTATGAAATCTTTTACCGATACTCGTGAGATATGAGATACAAATGCCCATCAGAACATGCAATTCGAAATCTGCATGTAACTAGTCTTATCCATATATATCTGGACACTTTGAAAAACTAGTCAGCATTTTTACTTTGAATGTACTTGCACTCTATCCATTTATTAACCTGTATTTACTTACCAATCCCAGAATCTGCAAGATGCTAAAATGATATACAAACATAAACCCCGTGGATAAAAGAGCCCACCAGAAATTGCAGAGTGGTTCTGGAGTGTAGATACCTTGAAAAGAAAGGAATACATTAGTGTTCAGCTGAATTGCCGTGTCCATCAAACACTCATGAATAATCCTCTCTCTTCTCCTCTGTGGATGTTAGGGCATCTGGCTTTAGCTGATAACCTACTCAATACCATTACAGTAATTAATATCCGAGAGCCTTATTTCTTACCTGGAGCGGCCTGATGGGTTTCTTCCCTCCTTCTGGTCCAGCAGTAAAACGTACGCTATGTTACCTCATTAAGCTTGCCTATCTTTCACCAACACCAGTGAGTTTTACCTCATTCTTCCTTCTACCGCAGAAGTACCGAATGATTTTGAAATACAGTACTGGTATACAACGAATCTTCAAAAATCAGGTTATTTATACTTAAACGCCTCCTGCTTATGGGGGCTGTGACTTCAGCATGCACAGAACTAACCTAGGTAGTGGCAGATCCTGCACAGCACTGTATTAGAGCATCGCCTAATCGCCATTTCCTAATTTTACGGTTGTTTAACAACTATTAAAAAGTAACTTGCGCCAATAATGCCTAGGAACAGAAAGGCTGTATCAAGGAGTCAATCCAAAAGTATTCGACCGTGCTTTTAAATGAAAACTGCTGTGGAGATATTTTCAGAGATACACTACAAACAACTTTATAATCAGTAGATATCACATATACTGTAAAATATTTTTTTCCCTTCAAATGAAGTAGCGGATATCACATTATTCCTGGGTTCACCTTTCTCCCTCCTCCTGAAAGTAGGTTTTGTCAATTTACTGACAAAACACAATGTCATGTGATCTAGAATGTACCGAGGAAATCGGAGCTAATAAAAGTACCCTTAGATACAAGGCTATTTTTGGAATTAAATATTCAAACATCATATGGTGAGAACAAAAACAGTTTACAGAGTTCTCAAGATTCTTACTAGCAAACATGAAAATTTCAGTGTAAGATATGGGGAAAAATATTTTTCTTACGACTTTAATCACCTAACCTAGGGACGCAGAAGAAAAAGATGCACAATGTCATGCTGCTCAGCTGCTATAAGAAGTTGTAGAGTTTCAGACGATTATAAAAATCCATTGGCATTTTTTAATCTGCCTTTGTCTGTTGTCTGATCCATTAGATATCATTAGATATTGGAACGTGTATCCAGTGTTCAAAGGACAGCTTACAGCACAGAGTGCAATACTCAGCCTTCGCGAGCTGGCACGAATGTAATTACCAGGAAGATTCAACAGACTTCAGCATATAGTGTACAAGGCTACTGGGAACTCGAATAACTACACACGCGTAGCTAGCTATGACAGAACTCGCCAGCCTAAAGCTGGTATGAGTATACCGACGTATGGTATGGTATGTAGATGAAGGCAAGTAAGCGCTGTTACTTGCTTTACCACACCACCATATAATGGTGCACCCTGTCTCAGGTTTAAAATCCCTAGAGGACGGCTTTCTCAATCCCTGCTGCCCTTTTACAATTCTTTTCTGCGTAGTTTTCTTCCATAGTTTGTACCCGTCGTGCCAGTTCAGATTGATTCTGCAGTAGCTACCTGAAATAATCTAACGTAAATATCATTTTGTGAATGTTACAAATTCAAAATTACCTACGCTTTATTGTCTAAAACTGTACACCTATTCATTGTCCACTCAAAATAACATCGCTTCTCTGTTGCTAGTCAACAGAGAGTAAGGAGTTGATCGTATGCTTGAATGACAGCAGCACATACGCACCCCATGTATCACTCACTGACTTCAGTGAGCAACACTGTTAGTGTAATTACCCAGGATCCAACTGCACACCGTGTTTTAGTAAGCCGGCTGTGACTTGGTGCAACCATGATAAATATGAGCGGAGAAGCTACTTTGAAAGCATAAGGCAGCTTATCAGATTTCTTATCCAGTGGGTAGGTGAAGGTCAGAAGTGTCTGAACTATAAGCAAAATCCAAAGATAAAAGTGAATTCTACATGAGTAACTTTAAGTGGAGTGCTCTACAGGTAAAGGGAAAAAATTCACAACAGTCTAACTCTTCGAACATGCTTAGCAAGCATGATCGACGAGCTGGTCTCCTGTTTAGAAAACGGTACAGGAGACTTCACTTAAATAGCCATGATATTCATTAAACTCCATTGCCCGAAAACATCAGATACGTGATACCACCTTGACCGTGGTTTTTCACTAGAGAGAGCAAGAGAAGCAGCAACTAGCCTTGGTGTCAGAGTTCAGGAGACCATGGCTCTATTTTTGGCTGCACCAACTTTAAGTGACTTGGTCAAGCTCTACGGAAACTCTTTGTGCTCCCTCCTCAGCTGTAGAGTAAAGAAAACATCGTTTGACTTGCAGGTTTTTTGTATTGTCTTTTATATGTTATAAAACTTATATGCAGTTTTAGGTGCATGTTTAACCTAGATGCAAAACACAAAATTTAAATAAGTTATCTGAAACAGCTCCTGGGAACTGGCAGAGCAGTGCTATAGCAAATTTGGTTTCACCTGAACTCGCCAGGTTGGCAGCTGCCTGTGTTATTGCAAAAGTATTCGACAAAGCCTGAGAACAGATGGTAGTAGTCTAAAGAGGTAAACACTCAGAGAAGCTAGAATCCAGAGACCTTGATATTTGGGGGACTTACAGCGCAGGTAGTATATAAACTCTAAAATAGACAAGTGAACCCAGCTATGAAACAAGAGTGGAGGGAGAAAGCAGTCATTAAAAGACTAAGGAAATTGCACAAGATGACAAAACAGAGCAGTGGCATAATTTGGCTTTGAACCCAAGCTTCTCATGTCCAGCTTCAATCTAGTCAGGGAATCATGTTTCAGAAGCCACTTAGGAGAGCGGTTCAGGTTCCTCCAGCAAAGAGTTTCACACTGCTACATCCTCTCTCTCTTGCAAAGCTTCAAAAAAATACATTAGCAACTCTCACCCTCTACAGACTTTTGATCTCGCTATATAATAGAAAAATCCCTCCTTGCTAGACTTTGCAATCCTGAAAATAATAGTGTGATTTTCAGCAGTATCATTATTTGGACATCAAGGGACAAAAAGGAAACAATGACCTCCACACAAAAACATTTCAGAGCGCTCTGGATTCCCAAGAGTGCTTTGGGAAACTAATTTTAAATGCATACCTGGGGTATTTTCTGTACATTTCTCATTAGACAAATAGTCACTATAGATTTTATTACTCTACAGTCCTGCTATTCGACAGACGACTGTTTAACGGGGCAGTGTGGTCCATTTTCTGTAGCACACCGTCTGTTAACAGAAACGTACAAACAGGAAAGCTGAGACCCGGCCGAGTGGTTGGTTCAACGGCCTGTGTTGGCTTTGGCAAAAGCTACTTGCTGCTTACATAGGAAACCAATTTCAATAGGCAGCAGTGAGTTTCACTCTCTATTGACTAAGGATCGCAGGCAATTCTTATATGTTAAGCACTTTCAAAAACTTAATCCAACTGCCAGTCTGGCACTAATCTCATTGTCAAAAATGCTCACGCCCCAGTCAGTTGAGACCGTTCCAGATCAGGGTCATCCAAGTAGGCTATATATTTGCTCTTGTGTTGAAATAGCATGGCAGTGGATATTTCAGTTTAAATTAAACTTCATTATTTCAATAGCATTGATAGGAAGGATTTCATATAGGTTGAAGAGTTTGGGGTTCATCATCTGCTTCTGCAATGAGAATTTGTTGACCTTGAACGTGCCAAGTAGTTAATTTTGCCACCTAGGAAATGGAAGCATGGCTTTAAAAACCTAAAGATCAACAAAGAGACTCAATTTCTTTTATACCGCTTCCCCCCCAATGTCTTCTGCTAGTTCTAGTGCTCTTATGAACTATTATTCTTCTTTAAAGTTCACAAAACACAGGCCTGTAAAAATTTGAACACAACTTAATAGAAAGTAATACTCCTTTTGTATTTCTGTGAAAACATAATGCAGGAGAAAATTACTCCTCTGTTTGAAGTAGGGAATTAGAACCTAAATATAGTACAATTTTTTAATTTAGTAGGGTGTTAAAATAATCTCTTTTTCCTAGTTAATGTCTTGCTTTCATTCCCAGTACATTTCACAGAGCTTTACCAGTTTTCCAGCCCAGCACTCTCTCCTTGGGTAGTCTCGCAATTACAGGTAGACCTGCTTAATGCAAAACTCAGAGCAACTATTACAATTCCTTCATTTTCAAGCTTATAAAAATGTGAGGGCAAATTTATTTCCATTTTATTTCCCTTGATCAAAGGGTTAATTCTAGTAGTGTGGCCTGTTGAGCCAGCCTAGAGACCAAACTTCCTTTCCAGGGGAAAACAGGAAAAATGTTCTCAAGAGGGTGAGCCTGAAATCCACCGTTTCCCCTACAGCTCTTCTGAATCTGTGTGTAGATTTCAAAATACTGCCTTATGCCAGGAGATTTCTGTTTCCCTGAATGCCAGCTACCGTCATCAGAATCAGCTCAGGCAGGGGTCTTTTACCTGTTCTGTTAACAGGTCTATTACCTGTTCCTCTCAGCAACCATTTTTTATATTCCATAAAGAAGCAGCAGCAGTTCTTCCTCTTCTTTCATACAGTAGTAGTTCTTCCATATACTGGTATATACCCTTCTAAACTTCTCTGTCTCCTACCAAGAGAGAGGAGTCTTTAACAGACCCCGGGCCCACTCAGAGAACGCCACATTAATTTCCTTACTTAGTTTTAAGTGTTTCGTAACAGGCCACCACAGTTTCAAAGGAGCTGTAACTGCATAAAGCTCAGAGGGTCACACGGCAGAGGCGTGTCCCCAGCTCTCTTAAATCATCAAACAAAATTATCCTGAAACGATCGAGCTGCGAGCAAGACTGCAGCAGGAGCCTGCAGCCAGAGCAACAGCACGCCCCTCCAGTCGCTGAACAGTGCCACAGCTACCCTGCTGCTCGAGGTGCCACAGTACAAGCACGGCTGGACAGTGAACCAGGCACTCACGTCTAATACACGGGATTTGGGAGGTAGAGAAAAGCTGGAATAGGAACACGGAAGCTGCCAGCAGGAGAGCAGGAGAAGAATACACAAGAGTTGACAGCTCTCCAAGTAAT